AGAGGAGTATGGACCGATCAAGGAGTTGTGTTTCTTGCAGTAGATATAGTGAAGGATCTGATTATTCGATCGAGGAGAGAGTATTGGAAGATGGCAACTCGAGAAGGCTGAAATCAGTTTCTACTGTTGTCGAACAAGGAAACGAAAGCTTCCTAGAATTGATTGACAATGAGCCTATAGAAGATGTATATGATCATGATGATTATCCATCCTGCAGAAGCAATAATAGTATGATGGCGGTGGTGAGAGGAAGTTACGGCAACATACACATACTGTGTCCGAGATGATAAAGCCTCCAGATGATGAGCAAGTAGAAGTCTATAACGTCAGAACTAGCAATGCTGAAGAAATGAATGTTTCTAGTGCCACTGATGGTTTAAACGGTGATGATATTGAATCGATTTTCAGACAGTGTACACCGGAAAACTTATTTTAGTTTCATGGTGGTCTCCATAAAAACATTAATCCTCCAACGGCTCTGAATGATGAGAGTGTTGATGATGTTAAAACTCCATCCAATGTAAAGATGGACTCGTTTCAGAGTAAAGCCCCTATAGCAGATGATGGTAGAGTGGTGGTAGCAAGTCAAGCAAGCCGACAGATTAGACAACCTCCGGTTAGAAGAGACTCATCCACTCTCCCTAAGGACGATAGGAACACAACAAATACGAGTGATGATGGAAAGTATTCCAAGACTCTGGAGTGTGATGCTGCTTCCCCACCTGCTTGGTTGGTTCCCGCTGGTATTCCTAGAAAAGTGGTTAATACAGTTGTTGATTCTGTTTCTAATAAGCCAAAGCTGGTTGTCTCACGGACTGGACTTGAAGCACCTAATGCTCGCAATACTCATAAACAAGAAGCTGTTACCCAGAACCCTCTCAGGCCAGGTTGGTAACTGAGACTAGTGTAGACGAGGGTGGTTTAGAAATAGAATCAATAACTGTATTGCGAGCATTACTTGCTTCAAGTCTGGTTTGTGATTTAACAACTGCCCAAACTGTGAGTCCCGATGTGTGATAATCCAGTCGTTAAAGATAACGATACCTGCGGTTCTACTTGTGATAAGACATACCCTTCTGGAAACGTTAGCTCGGATACACAAGAAGACGAGACAAAGGATGGTTCACAATTTCAGCAAAAGACGATGTCCGTAATGCGGGGTGGGGAAATGGTGCAGGTTAGATTTAACCCCGATAATACTCAATTAACCGGTCTACTCTTAAGTGTTGATCATGATACTGTTGGATCTTTTTGTCTTATTTTGTGCAGGTGAGTTACCAAGTTTATATTCGTAAGAGAGCCCCTGCTAGGGGTGCACAAAAAATCCGAATATCCGAATATCCGAAAAAAATATCTGAAACCGGTTTTGGGAAAAACCGGTTTTTTTTAACCGGATCGGATTTTTTTAAACCGGTTATTTTAACCGGTTTTTTTACCGGATAAAAAACCGGTTTGAAAAAAATCGGTTAAAAAACCGGTTTTTATCCGGAAAAAAAACGGTCTGGGTTTAAAAAACTAGCCGTTGGGGGGGTTTTGTGACCGTTTTTTACCGTTTTTTTTTTAAAAATTACCATTTTACCACCCTAAACATGTATAAATAGGTTGGGGATGTATTTGGTTGATTACAAATTCCTCAAATCTTATTACACAACACTTAAACATCTCTCAAATCTTACTTTTGTAATTTTTTGTTCATCATGAGTAACACGGCTGAATCTTCCGTCGGGGGAAACCTTGAAGTCGTGAGAGTGATCGAACACACTCGAAACAAAGACATTTGGGATCACTACGATTTATGTGAGATGTCAAATGGCTCGAGGAGGGCGCGTTGTAAACTTTGTCTAAAGTTTCTTGCATCGGAAGGAAACACAACGTTGAAGAACCATTTGACAAAATCATGCAAGGCACTTCGCTCAAGATCGGATCCTAGTCAATCGAATCTTACACCGCAAGGTGGTGTTTTTGTTTACGACAACGAAAAATTACGAGAAGCGTTTACAAAGTTCGTGATTACAAAAGCATTGCCGTTCGACCACTTTGATGATGAAGATTTCACGACAACAATTCAACAACTAATGCAACCACGTTATACTCAAGTAAGTCGTACTACCCTTAGAAGAGATGCTATAAAAATGTGGCGTACGGCGAGGGAAAAAATGATTTTAGGATTCCAAGAACACCGTTATGGTGTGTCGCTTACATGTGACGTTTGGAGTTCCCCTCATAATACCGGAAATTCTTTTTTAGCCGTTACGTCACATTGGTTAGATCAAGATAATTGGCAAATGATGAAAAGAACAATCGCGTTTGAATTATTCGGTGAGCCGCATACCGGTGTTAATTTATTTACACTTTTAAAAAGGGTAATTTGTCTTTATAAATTAGAAAATAAAGTTTTTTCTATATCCTTTGATAATGCATCGAATAATACAAACGCGGTTCCAAGATTGAAAATATTACTTTCACCGATTTTAGACGGTGCGTTTTTTCATACCCGTTGCGTTGCACACATAATTAATTTATCCGTGCAAGCCGGTTTGGAGGTTATTGAGCCGATTAGATTAGAATTCAAAACAATGATAAAATCGGTTCTTTGTAACAACAACAAAAGACTAAATGATTATAAACGATTTTGTAAGTCCGTTAATAAAAAAGCTTTGGGTCCTAATTTAGATTATCCAACTCGTTGGAACTCAACTTGGATGATGATGCATACTGCCTTAAGGCAAAGGGAAACATTGCAAACATTTCACGATCGGCTTTTCGAGAGGGGTCATGTCCCAAACATTTATCCGGATTCGAGTTGGGAAACTATAGCCAAAATAACCGATTTGCTTGAGGTTTTTAAAAATGCAACAACTTTTTTATCCGGTGTTTATTACCCTACTAGCCCGTTGGTTCTTAATCAAATATTTTTGTTGGCTACCCGACTAAATGACTTTGAATTTGAAACCGAAGTTTTTCAAGAAATTGGCTTTGCAATGAAGGAAAAACTTTTAAAATATTTTAAGGAGATTCCCCCCATTTTTACTTGTGCCGCCGCTTTAAACCCAACGTTAAATGTTGGTGGGGTTGAAACACTAATTGAACAAATTGCGTTTGTTTTTAATCTAACCGATGATGAACCCAACTTTGTCCAAAACCAAATAAATTATTTTAACAAATGTTTTCGAGACATGTTTGCAATTTATTTAAATAAATACGGATCAAGTAGTGTAATACACGATCAAATGAGAATGAATGCGAAATCATCTAGTAGACGTCCAAGTAACATAAATTTGAATCTTTTTAACACTCTTGTAAATTCCCAATCCAAACGATCACGTACTACCACCCCAAGTAGCGAGTTGGGAAATTATATGTCATGCGATTTTCTATCAAAAATGACATTTGAAGAGTTTGAAAGTTTGGATATTTTGGCTTGGTGGAAAGAAAAGGAAGCACAATTTCCGATTCTAGCCGCCATGGCCCGTGATTTACTAACCGTCCAAGCTTCTACGGTAGCTTCGGAATCCGCTTTTTCTGTTAGTGGCAGGGTTATATCGCAACGGAGATCAAGACTAAGTCCCGAGTCGGTGGAAGTATGCATTTGTTTAAAGGATTATTTGGATGGAGCGGCTCGTAAGCAACATATCACCACCCTAGAAGATGCAATTGATGCCGATTTGGAAGCAAACTTACACATTGAAGAAATCGAACTTGGAATATCCCCTCCAAACGAAGAAGGCGAAGATGATGAAGAATAGATGGCAATGTAGTTTATTTTATAACTTTATTTCAATTATCGTAAACTTTGTTTCAATTATCGAACTTGAAGTTTTTAAGTATTTGAATTTATCGAACTTGGAAGTTTTTAAGTATTTGAATTTATCAAACTTGGAAGTATTTAAGTATTTCAATTATGTTGAGTTAATTAAGTATTTCAATTAAGTATTTAAATTTATCGAACTTGAGGTTTGATGCTTTCTCTTTGATTCTCTCTTGATTCTAGTTGCTTGATGTTTCTTGTCTTTGATCAATGACTTCTAAGCTTGCTTAAATACACTTTGAATCACTTCTGAACTTTAGTGATAATTAATGAAGATAATATAGCCGTTTAAGTGTGAAAACATTTAATAAAAATGCTTGGAGCGTGGGGGAATCGGTACCCTCATAGGGAATCGGTTCCCTAAGTGTAAAATTCAAATATTTCGACCGTTGAATAGGGGGGAATCGGTACCCCCTATGGGGGAATCGGTTCCCTCCGAGCATTCTGGAAATCTCGGAGCCAAACCATTCAGTGAGGAATCGGTACCCCCTTGGGGGGGAATCGGTTCCCTATGAGTAATCTGGAATATTAAAATCGGTTTTTTTATAACCGTTTTTTTTAAAAAAAACCGGTTTTTTTTAAAACCAAAACCGGTTACACCGGTTAGGATATCCGGCCCTCCAAACCGGTTAAAAACCGAACCGGTTATTTTATAAACCGGTTTTTTTTCTATGAGAAAAAACCGGATCGGATAAAAACCGATCCGGATCGGATTGAAATCCGACAAATGTTCATCTCTAGCCCCTGCTTTGGCTAGGAGACAGCTCAAGCGCTGAGCCCTTTTGTTAATGTGATGGATCTTGATTAAAAGGTGCAGCTTTTAGCAGCAGCAGCGGTAGAGAACTAATTGATGGCAGTGCATTTTGGTAGCATTCTTTTAGCTCACTGGCTTAAATTATTATATCTACCTTTTATATATTTATTTTTCCTTGGCATGCACGGATTTGATCATTTTAGATATAGTACAAGAAAATAAATGTTGTTGGAGTTTTGAAGCGGTAGCGGTAGAGGTGAGTATTCGAACAAATCGAGTTTACAAGTGCAAGGCAAGGTGCATTAAAAACTGTGTAAGCAGAGTCTGCAAAATTGTACAAAGAGATTATTGTTTAAATGAATGATTAATGTTTTATTCTAATGTGATGATAGCAAAGTTTAAATTATACATCAATGTCATCCCCGCAACACAAAAAAATTGATCATAATGGATGAAAATTACACAATTTCTTACGATGTTATGTAAATCAAAATCATAAGAAATGCAGAACTGTAAACACCCTACAAAAACAAGAGATAAAATCCATCTCAGTTTTTCCTCTTCAATTCGAGTTAAGATCACGCGATGTTTGGCCTTGCCACCTGTGTTACATACGAGGATTTTAGAACAATTTGGGTTAAGATCATGTGTGTTAATGGAGCAGTGCTTCAACAAACCTGGAAAGCAGAAATCTCGCAAGAGGGCTCAAGTTGGAATTTGAATTAAGTTCTTTATGCTGCTGTTTTCCTCTACTGTCGGCTTCGGCGTTCGGATTTTGTGCATCTTCAGGGGTCATCTTGCCCTTATTGAACAAGCGAGCTGCTAGCTCCTGCATATCTCTCATCGAAGATTCCTCCGAGCTGCAAAATTTTCTCTCTTTAGTTTATGATTTCAAAGAGACTAATATGGCTTACTTTCGAAAGGGATGGTAATGTGAGATACGAAAAAAAGTTAACCTTGCCAATCGCTCGAGCAACCTGCGAACGAGAGCCTCACAAGATCCGGGCTTTGCATCCTCCATGTTTATGAGAGAATTAGTAACTCCACGTACAACTGACCCTTCTGAATCATCAGCAAGGACCTATATTTTAATGCATCGGCAAACTATTAAGACGTGAACAAAATGATTGCAGTCTTAATAAATATCAGAAGCTGATATGGTAAAAGAGGAAATGGAAGTTGATATCACAGCAAATAACTTCAACCTACTTAAACATGAGGAATATTTCAAAGTTACTGTCAAGCTAACTGGCAGGGAAACCTAAAGTAAACTTCGAGTAGTGTGCACCTCTTTTAGGGACGGGATAAGCAACATGGATAGTGGAATAGATGATGATATTATCTTGGCATTTTCTTCATCATCACTTGGTCGACAAATCGTTGGAAATAATCTTTGTGCATCCAAATAGTCACGGGAACTTCTGGAGAAAAATAATAACACTCGGTGATAGTAGCACAGCCTAAATAAATAACCAAATATATATAAAATTCTCAGCATCTGAGCCTAAATAAAGTTAGCTCTTTAGTCACGGGATAAGTAACACTCGCTTTTTTATTAGTAATCAGTAGGGTTTAATAACCTAGTTGTTTGCTGATTAGCCCACTTGTTTGTTTTCTTTTGGATATTAATTATTCAAGCATGACTAACTCTGATATCTGGGATATAGTAAATCTACCCCAAACGTCCCCCTTTTTATGGCCTTTTTGGCTACTTGGTATATACATTTCAAGCATAAATGAGTCCGAGTATCGATTTTAGTCCATGCGAGTCTAATTATCTTCCTACATCTTTGCTTTTTCCAGTAAGAATTTACGGCCTTATCTTGTAGATAGAACTTGTCTTTCATTTACAATTTGTTCTCGGTATATTGTCGTTCATCTCCAATAACATGTTCTTTTATTTCTTTGCATTCTTCTGATTACTGGAATGTTGTTGTTTAAGAGTTACTTTTCTTATTCTTTTCTACAATATAGCTTCATTATGGATTTGTGGCTTGGTGCTTTCATAGGTGTCCAAAAGGAGAGAATGGAACCAGAGGACATGTATGTATTATCAGGGGATGGGGCTATAATATCTTCACCTTCTCCAAAGACGTACCCTCATAAGCCTCCTAAGTGTTCCGATTGTGCTCCTCTTTTTATGAAGGTAATTATTATCTGTGTTTTTGTAGGAAAACCATACAAAAGAAATTCCTGTTGGATTGAAATTGTAACATCCCAAGTGTTGTTTGCTTTTGTGCAAAATTTGATTAAAGATCCATGTTGCGAATCAATAACCGGCAAATTTGGTTCTTATCTAGTTTAGTTGCCCTTGATCCTATCGTAACTTACAATTTGTGAAGGGTGTAAAGTTAAGTAATGCATGCAAAACTTATACCCAATTATGTTTGATGCTTGCACTTGTTGCAGATAAAATTGTTAAAGTTTACATTGGTAAAATTGAATCCTCTTTGTTGCTTCATTCGATGCATTCTAAAACTTGTTAACTACATAGTTTTATAAATTCTTTTACCCAAAGGTTAGCCACTGATTTCTTGGTTTAGTTAAGGAGTCAAAGTAGTACCGATATTTGACACCATGTTATAAATGTTTAATTTGTGAGGATTATGTTGATGGATTATATATGAAAGATGTAACTGAATCAGAATTTAACGGTGTGCTGCCTCACTTTTCATGTTTTGAGTTTGGTATTTATATTTAATGATCTTTTTGCCTCATAATTCAGGCATATCATATGCGTAATGCTGGGGCTGTTATCCACAGTCATGGAATAGAATCCTGTCTTGCAACAATGATTGATCCACATTCGAAAGAGTTTCGTGTAAGTTATTGTTGTCTGTAATATTATTCTAGATTGTGTTTCTCGCAATTTCTCTCACCTTTAATTTCCTTCTTTACTGCTAGACATCTGTGTTCTTTTAGTGATTGATTTACTTTTTCTCTTTTGGATGTTTACAGATCACTCATATGGAAATGATAAAAGGAATCCAAGGACATGGTTACTACGATGAACTTGTGATCCCAATAATCGAGAACACAGCCTATGAAAACGAGCTAACGGATTCACTTGCCAAAGCTGTATGTTTCGTTTGCATTAATCTTGCTAATAGATAGATTATGAGATGGGTTTTATGAAGTTCTTAAAATGTTTATGTAGCTGAATGAGATTATCAAATATTCTATAATCTATATTGACGAGGACCATTTTGCTAATGAGAACATATTGTCTACACTCCATTACAGTTCGTTTCAATCAAATTTATCCATGCATAACATTGCTTTCGCTCAATTGAAATCTACTTCATTGTTTTTCAGATTGAAGCCTATCCTAAAACAACAGCTGTGCTTGTGCGCAATCATGGCATATATGTATGGGGAGACTCATGGATCAGCGCCAAAACTCAGGTTCATTAGACTTATGTATATATTTGAGTTCCAACTGGGGAAATTCAGAATGAGTATCTGGAGCCTCTCTCTCCTGGGCTTTACTGCTGCTTACAAATGCCAAAAGTATTTTCATATGCATATGACTTAGAATATAATAACAAGATTAAAAAGTAAAAGTTCCACTAAAAGTTGATGCTCCTCCCTAGTAAGATAGAGATTGTTACATGTTGCATCGGTCATATTTTGTTTCTTATTATTTCAGGCTGAATGTTACCACTACCTATTTGATGCTGCTATTAAATTACATCAACTAGGCTTTGACTGGTCTACTCCAGATCATGGCCCCATTCAGAGTGTTAAAGGAGTTCCAGGTGTCGACTGTAATGTGTCTAAAAAGGCTAGGACAATTGATTCAAATTGTAACTTGAAGCCATTACCAGTAAGAATTTTACATATTTTCTCCAGTATGTTAAATTCTGGATTTTTGCATGATAACATGTCCCCTCTTGCAAAAATTTTCATATGGAGAACCATGTCTTTTAACTTGAATGGATGAATGGCGTACTGGTATACTCTGATTTTTTCATTGCTGAACAAGAAGATTGTTACATTCATTCGTCGGAAATAAACACTCATTTACAGTTTGTTCTGTTGCAGCGTTGCATTGTACTTGATATTGAAGGAACCACTACTCCTATTTCATTTGTAATGGACGTTCTCTTTCCTTATGCCCAAAACAATGTCGAGAGGCATTTGTCCGCAACATATGCTAGTGCTGAAACCCAAGATGATATTAAGTTATTACGTTCTCAGGTAAGATTTTCTTTTGACCTTAGAACCTCTTATAATATTATGCTTTCATCAAGATACAATCTTTCGGCTTTGCTTTCTTGAAGCAATTATTCTTAACATTTTATAGGAAAGAACCGAATTAAAGAGCTAAGCCTCCATGGAGATTAGGGCAACCAAAGAACTTGATATTGAATCCTAAATTAGATGCTTATACTGATTACATAATGGGGTTTCTGCAGGTTGAAGATGACTTGAAGCAAGGTGTTATTGGCGCTGTACCTATCTCCTCAGAGGATTCCGAAAAAGAGGAGGTGATTGCAGCTTTGGTTGCTAATGTGGAAGCAATGATAAAAGCTGATCGAAAAATCACTGCCTTGAAGCAATTGCAAGTAAGAAAAATGAATTCAAAGAAAATACATTTTTAAAGCTTACTATTGGGATAGAGCTAATATATGAAGCAAAATAGGGCCATATATGGCAAATTGGATTCGAGAACAATGAACTCAAAGGCATAGTTTTCGATGATGTACCAGAAGCTCTTGAAAAGTGGCATGCTTCGGGTGTGAAGGTATCTGGCATATTTCATTTACTTGAGTTTATTTTCTGAATGAAGTTCCGGATTCCATATTTGTAAAGCCTACTGATTATGCTGCTTGTAAAGACTATTTTCTTAGTTGATAGGTGTCTACTTGGTATCTTTTTTGGTATCTTTCATGTCTGTTTTACAGCCCATGCTGAGGATTCATGTTTGCCCCTCCCAACAATGTCGTCTCCAAGATTTGAGCTTGGGTTCTCTCATTGGGAGTGCAATGTGCCTTACCGTTGCACTTAACACAATACCAAGCAGTCATGAATTACAATCTATTACCACAGAAACAGGATGATTTCTCTTATTTCTGAGAAGACATGCATATTGATTACAAAAAATGAAGCGTATCCTCATACATTTAAAGACTGTCCAACCTTTTAACTATCTCCCTCTCCATATTTTTCTTCACACCCGAGTTCAATTAACTTAACTCCTTGACATCTTGAATATTTACAGGAAGTTCAATATCAATGTTAATCACTGCTTCCTGTTTTCACCACAGGTATACATATATTCCAGTGGTAGCAGACTGGCTCAGAGGCTTCTCTTTGGAAATACAAAATTTGGCGATTTGAGAAAGTATTTATCTGGATATTTCGACACCGCAGTGGGGTAAATTCACAACATTCGCAGTTGCTTCCATTTTTATCACTCAATTCTAATTCAAGGTAACACTTTTTTTTGCCTTCCCTTGCAGAAACAAGAGAGAAATACGCAGTTACGCTGAAATAACCGAGACCTTGGGTGTTGAAAAGCCATCTGAGATACTATTTCTGACCGATATCTATCAAGAAGCCATTGCTGCAAAAGCTGCAGGTATTGTACTGCTCTTTTTTCTTCTTTTTTGCTTTTCAACAGTGAATGCCAGATTACAAAAGTCATGGGTTCCACATCATTTCTTGTTTTTCTCTATGTCCATATTCTGAGACCCTGTTTGATTCCTGGTTCAGTTTATAAACTTTTACTCAAAGTAAATGAAACTATTTTCCATATCCCTTTCTTTGTTGTTAGCTTGTCTGTTTGTTTTTATCTCCTCTTAAATATGCCATGCTATTAAAAGAGAATCCAAACCATTCCAATTCGATAGTAAATTTCGCTGCACTTCCTTGCATAAGTTGTTGACGGAACATAAACGTTGAAAGTTTGGTTGTTCTGTAGATCAGTTTCCCATTTCAGTGTTACACAAACTAGAAGACGAAGGCAATTTTTACGTTGTTTATTAAATATATTAATGATTATCCATGTCTTAGGTTTGGAGGCTATAATTTCTATCCGGCCAGGGAACGGTCCTCTTCCCGATAACCATGGGTTCAAGACCATCAACTCTTTCTCAGAGATCTAGTAGAATTTTGTACTTCTTTTATAATATCGACTGTAACAGTTCGAACGCATGATAAATCACTTTCAAATGCAATAAATCCTGGTTCTCTGCAAGTTCTGTTTGTGCTTTCATTCTGAGCAATGGGAATGATATCGATCCTGGGGAAGACAACTAATGTTTTCAGACATTCAAGTGTACATTTTATGCCATGATAAGTTTGTTGGTACAATATTGTCTCAAACAAAGAGGATTTGCTTCACATTCCAGATGATAAACCCCCAAGTGTCCGCTGTGAAACACAGGATCTCATGAATGTTAAAAAAACTAGTGAATTTACTATGTTG